GATGTCTCCTTAAACCTTTATACCAACTAAACATCTATATAATAAGTGTGAATGTCAGTGTGTCACACTTTTTCAACTTTATTCCTAGAGGCCGTAACCCATTTTGGAATCAGGCTGACTCCATGAGCAAATTAAAAACATTCTGAGCCAGATCCAGACCCACAATCCTGAAATTTTGGATTCCTGAGTTTTCATTACTGCTATTATTTTTGGATTCCACTATCTTGGTTGACAAAAACAATTAAAGGGGCACAACTCTCTAACTTTCAATAGCTTATGTTCAAATTAAAAAATCTGTGTTTTCAACATTACTGCTAGAAGCCATAGCCCAAAATATCATAACATTTTAGAATCATTCCGACTCTGTAAGCAAATTAAAAATATTCTAGGCTAGATTTGGACCTGCAATCCTGAAATTTTGGATTCCCAAGTTTTCGTTACTGCAATTGTTTTCAGCAATTTTGTTTTTTTTCTGTGATAAATTTTTTGTATGATAATAATTTTTATAATTTGGAAATAATTGAAATTAATTGTGAAAATCACCCATGAAATAAAAATAATTGTTTGTACAGAAAGAAAGGACCTACATACATCAAATTGTTGTTAAATTAAGTGGCAGCAGAAGAATTATCATTGAACTTTTAAAGGGTAATATTAAATATTAATGCAATACTTAAATGCAGTGATCAATTTTGAGTTCTTCTGTAGTTTATTGTTGTCTATTGCATCTACTCCTCCCTACCTATTATGATGAAGGCCTAATCAAAAGCCCTCATCCTGATAGTGTGGCTTTTAAGGTAGTCTATGTTAATAAATCTATATTTTGTTTTTTATTATTAGAAATGTTATTTTCATTATTACTATATGTTATAACCTTTTCAGCAATCTGTTATGGGATGTTAACTAAGACTAATGACAGACAGGACCTTAAAAATAAAGTATCCAATGTGCATTATGTGAAAATGGCCCCTAGTGGCCAAATAATTTTGCTTCTAAAGAGTGTGTGTAATTAATACAATTAGTGATGTAAAAATTGAAATGATAACAAGATAGAGTTAATCCACATAACAGAATGGAATTTATTCAGAATATGTAAAGATAGATATTTTTTTAGATTCAACACATTGAAATTTCATGCATGATGGCATGGTAGTTCAGTTTGCCATGTTCCCCTGCTTGGAGATTCAAAATCTGCTAAGGGACATAACTCATGTTGAGTCTTGAGTTATCTCCCATTTAATTATAATTTTTTTTATTTTAGGGTTAACTGTAACACTATGCTATATTTAGTAACTATACGTGTTTGAGTTGACATCAGTGTTTCTTTTTTCTCTCTAATGGTCTGTGCAATCAAAATTCTTTTTTTTAGCAAGGATCACACATTCTCTTTAACCTGAGAAAATCACCTTTAATCTAAGTGGGCTTTTAACTGCTCAGCTACAAAAAATATATATAGATATAGACTTCAAAAGGTAAATGAGCTTTGATTTGCTGTGTGGGCATGATGTTGAAGTTGAATGATTCTCTGGAGGGAGATTTTCCACTATCTACTTCACTCCAAAACTTGAGATAATCTATCTTTGATTGTTTTGCCTTCCTTGTGTTGCAGAAGACATGTTATGAAATAATTATGTAGTGGCTTTCCACTCCCACTTAGTGATATTATATATATTAAATCTAATAGTTTTGTGATTTATGTCAGTAAAGTTGAGGAGTAGAAACCAAACTGAACGTGACCCACCACCAAAGATCCCAATGGCAGAATAAGCAAAGATCTACACAATCTCAGTGGCCAAACCTGGCAGAAGAGGGCAGTGTGAGTCAAGCTGGCATAACCAATGTGGACCTTGACAGCCCAATACGACCAGACGTGCTTGATCCCGCCTGCCTTATTTCCCTTTGAGCTGCAAGGGAGGTGCTTCTGATCAAGTGTGTGGGCTTCTCCATTGCACAGTTTTTCACCAAAATCAAATTCATGTGAATAGCCTCATCAAATTCTCTTTGATTCACAGCCATCTTTACCACCAGAGGGGAGAAATGGAGTAAGGAGAGAGGATGATGATCTTGATGCTTGGATGTGAGTGTGTGCTGCCAATGATGGTGATTGAATTCTTCAACTCAATCATAAGAAAACTACAATTTCTTGACATTGAAATGTTCATAAATTTCTATGTAGATGGTGATTGGAAAATGATTTCTAACCTGGGGTGGTAGCACCTGTTAGGGTCCCAGTTATGGGCAAATAGTGAACTTACAAACAAAAATCAACAGTACATTTTTATCATAAATTTACCAGCAATACATTTTGATAGCAAAATGAAAATCAATGCAACACCAAAATATATAAAAATACATTTTTATAGTAAAATTACCAACAATACATTTTATGATCTATAAAATATATATCTAGGAAAAACATAAATTTACCCTGAAAGCATAAAATTATGTACAAAATATGTAAATGTCAGCATTAAATAATTTATAGAGGTTGATATGTCACAAACAAAATGAACCAACTCATTCATTGACCTTCTACTTTGAGTGGTTCTTGGGCTTTGTCGTGGTCGGAAAAAAAAAACTTATATAAGAGAAAATGACTTAAAAATAGGGAGTGCCTTTTTAGTCTTCCTATTGGCACTTTGGAAGCTGTTAGGAAAAGTTTATCTTCTCATTAACCAAGTTCAGTTTTCTTGCTTATTTCTTTTTTTTTTCTTTTGACTAGCAACTGTTTTTATTTCTGTGTCTTATTTGTCTGTATTTTTTGAACTTGTATTGATGGAAAGTTAAAAGGAACTATCAGACATGTTCCCCATGTTTGTCATTTAGGTTTCTTTGGCATTCTTTCAGGTGGTCATCAGCAGCTTAAAGATGTCAAAACACCAAGGCCAAAATCTTCCTAGCTTGTCTCTCACTTGTGTTCTTTGTCTTTCTCAAGAGATTCATAATGTTTGATCGTCCACTCGGATTATGTCTGCTATTTGTTAAAGAACAGTAAACAAACCGAAGGAGAGTCGGTAACTCCTTTTGCTTTCAGCTTTGATATGACAATTTTACAAAGACTAATAAAAATCTTAGGACGATTTTGATATTAGGGATTTTATAAGTACCATAACTTAGAATATCTGCTTTGCTTTGTCTCAGTGCAAAAAACCAAAATCATAATTTTGTTTGTTTAGAAGTTTGCTTTTTCTTTCTACCAGCCTAAGCATTTATCACTTATACTTTTCACACTCAACAAATTTCACCAGTGTTTTTTAGTAAATAACTGAAATATCTGTCTCTATTTCTGAGATGAGATATTAAATAACTATTTACACTATTTACATTGTTTGGACTTTTGTCCTCATTTTTGTTGTCATATTTGCAATGTTTCGGCTGTTGTATGCTCTAGCCTTCTTCTGATTTGAATTCCAAGTAATCCAGTGACTTGACCCAAAGAGTTGAGTTCAATACTTGGCCACAGCTGAGATGAACAAAAACTTGGAGAGTTTGGTTACTTAAGGGAAATAACCAAAACTGAGATATCTGGAAGAGGCATGGCATGTGGAACTAGAACAATCTACTCCAGTGGATGAAATAAAGGGTTCAATTTGAAATTCTATTTACCTTAAGAAGGCCAGAGTATACAATGGCCCAAACATTATGAATATGACAAATATGAGGACAACAATTCAAACAATGTAAATAGTGTAAATAATTAACTGTAATATATCAACAATGTTATTCATAACAAAAAGAAATATTTTTAATAATATTAAATACTGACACTATAAACACAAATTGGCAACAACAAAATTATCAACTGTTGTCAGAAATTTAATAAATAAAAAATAAAATGAGTATATAAAAATGGTAAATGCTTAAAAACTATTTTAATAAAATAGTTTTAAATGTTTGCCATTTTTGTATCATGCAAAAGTGTTTGACATGGTATGTCACAAAGAACTGTTAGCAATGCTAGGTAAGCTTGATTTATTTGCGAAAAAACGCCTGTATGAGGATAGAAAATGAATTCAGTAAATACACAATAATAGAAAGGAGCGTAAGACAAGATTGTGTCTTCTCACTGGACTTATTTAACCTTTAAAGTAAAGCAACCTACCAGTATCTATTATTGGCGGCCACAATCTTAACCACACTGTGTATACAGATAACACAGTGTTGATATTAGACAAAGGAAGGTTACTATAGAAATTCCTACAGAAGGTAATAAAGGAAAGTGAGAAGAAAGGACTAACCATCAACTGTAAGAAGATAGAATGTCAGCAAAAGAAAAAGCCAAACATCCAAATTACAAGTGCAAAAATTTAAATATCTAGAAAGTGTTTTAACATAAGATGGAAAATATATCTGAAAGTGTATTGGGATAGTGAAAGATGCTTTCAAAATTAAGTAAATTATTATCAAACATGAAAATTTTATTGGAAAGAAAGAAAAGAATATGGGAATGTATGGCAGAGAATACTGCGCCATCTCATCACAGAGGAGAGACTTGAGGCAACAGAAATGTGATTCTCCAGAATGATGCTGAGGATACCATGGAATGAACATCTGAGCAACAACAATGTCTTTCTTTTTTTTTTTAAGAAAATAGAAACAAAAAGGACACTTATATATAACATCAGAAAGCAATACTTGAAATTTTTCATGAGGAAAAAGGGCTTAGAAAATTTGACACTCAGAGGAACATACTGAAGTCAAGAGGAACACAGGAAAGCAGTGTATAACTCACGTAATGAGCTTTTGCATATTGTTGGCAGAACAGGGCTTAGGAGATATAGTAAAAAACAAACATTACAAAGGACAGAAAGTTATGGAGAACCATGATCACCTACATCCTGTAGGAATAGGGCACATAAAAGCAGCAGCAGCTTCTGCTGCTAATAGATATGCATTATCTAGACTTGGTGCACATTCAAGTTGAGTATTTTTTCAATGTAATTGATGTAAACATACAGAACATGTAATGTATATTAGAGAAACTTATTTCTTATGGGCTTATGGCAATATCACATTGAAACACCAGTTCTTATATTATCACTGAAGTGAAGCAATGTTGAATCTGGTCAGTACTAAGATGGGTGACCATGTGGGAACATCAAGTGCTGTAAGCTTGGATGTGCCAAAGACTTAATGGATGCAGGCTTTGAATTGGAAATTGGAGAGCAGACTTCCAATTCAGGTTTGTTATATTCAATTATGTGAAGATACACACACGCACACACAGGGCATGTTGTTTTTTGGGGAATGGATTTTGTCAACTGCACAGTGTAATAGTGTCAGTTGAGTACTGTTTATGAGAAAAATAGCACCATGACACAATTATTCCCTCTGCCAGAAATTTTGAAATGAGATGCTTTAATGCTTGGCATTTGTATCAGAAACTCCAGTGCAAACATTTCAGAGTGTTAGGGTGTCAATCTGTGGATGGTGCAGAGGATGCTGTGTCTCCAAAAGATGTACTGAGAGTGATGAAAGCCAAATATCCAGTCAACATCATGGTGTTTGGAGTGATCACTAGTGATGGCAGTATTATGCCTCCATTCATCTTCCCACAGGGCCCCAGAATCAACATGGAGGCCTACAACAAGTGCCTTGAGGATGGATATATATATATATATATATATATATATATATATATGCATGCAATTCAACATCTACTTTTACCCATCCATCACTGAAGATTGATTAATGGCTACTATAACCCTGGCCAAGAATTATTGCACCATGTTTGACAAGGATATCACCATTGTTATGCAAACCCAAAAACCCATTCTATACTACGATGGTTCTTTGTGGACGATAAAAGACAACCCAAACTTCTCTATAGCAATGGGAATGTTGACTCCATGGAAGCTTGGGAATTAATCAGCATACTACTGCAGTAGAGGCTCAGGTATACTTTCGGCAGTGAGAGCACTGGCCTGTACAAAGATGATGGAATTACACTTCTATGCAACACCAACACTGACTCAGGAAACAACTAATCAAATTCTTTAAGGATCACGGACTTAATATCACCACTATTACCAAAACCAAGGTGATTAACTTTCTTGATACTATTCACTCTATCCAGAGGAGTGTACATGCCTTATAATAAGGAACTTTATAACCATATATACATTAATAAGAAATCTAGCCACCCACCAGGTATCCTTAAGAGCCTGCACATATCCATCCAATATAGACTTTCTACTAACTCCAGTAATAAATACATCTTTGACAAATACAAAACCAAATATGTTGATGCACTAAATAAAATTATACATAATATTAAACTAGAGCACGTCCTAAACACTAGTGCGAATACCAATAGTAAACTTCGGAATAGAAAATGCAACATAATTTGGTCCAACCCACCTTTCAATAGTAATGTCAGGACCAACACTGGTAGAACCTTCCTTAAATTAGTGCACAAACAATTTAACCGTAAACCCATTCTCAAAATAATCTGAAATGAGAAACCAAAACTGTTTTTTTTTGTGTAATAAAGCCATTAAAAATTATTTACCATGTGTAGTTTAGTTTTAGTCTTAGATAAATATTTATCATAGTGAAGATCAAAGTTTCTACTAATGATCTGTGAGACTTGGTTAACTGTTTGTATTTCTGAGATGTGGTATTGTACCTATTTACATTGTTCACACTATTGTCCTCATCTACATATTGGCTGTTGTATTCTCTGGCCTTCTTTAGATGATTAGAACAATCTACTCTGGTGGATGAAATGTAGAGTTCAGTTCAAAATCCCAGTCACCTGAAGAAGGCCAGAGTGTACAACGGTCGAAATGTCATGAATATGATAACAGAGATGAGGACAACAGTTCGAAGAATTTAAATAGTGTAAATTGTTTAGCTGTTATAAAGAAACCTTCATGTAGATTTTTGCTTGTGAAATAAAGTTCTTTTTCTGATGTTGTCAGATAATCATTGAAAAACAAGTAGAAAATTTTAAAGAATATTTACTGCATATATATATATATATATATATATATTTATTAAAGACATTTTTTTATGTTTAACGTTGTTATTTTATAGAAAATATTTGTATTGTTTTGACAGGATAGAAATAATATTTTCTATGAAAATTTCTCGGACATTCAGGCCGGTAAATGTTATTTAATACTGTTTATCTTAAACAGAGCATTTGCTTAAATACTTGTATCTATAAAATAACAACGTTAAACATAAAAAAATGTCTTTAATAAATAAATTGTCGGACCTTGTCCATTTCTTAACATATATATATATATATATATATAAAGCTTAACACATCATGAAAATATGGTAATAGATCATGATTTATTTTGGCCAGTAAGTCTCATCAGACTGAAGATGTAAATGGTATAAATTTAAAAACAATGGATCAAATTATCCAGACAAAAGAAAGAAAGAATAAAATAATAACAGGAAAAGGTAACAGGAAGTCGAATCATCTGACCTAGGAAATCTATTTTCAAGGTGTTAGAAGCAGTCAACCATTCAAAAATCTGGTGTGAAATATAAGAGAAAGATTGATCTCTCTATATATATATATATATATATATATATATATATATATATATATATATACACATATATATATATAACCACAAATATATATATATATATATATATAGGAAGAAGAGACAATCATGGATAATAAATTGACAGATTGAACCAAAAAGAAATAAAATGAATATATGATATAAAATAAAATATCTAATATATAAAAAATCTATGAAAATATGTATATATATATATAAATAAACATGCACTATATATATATATATATATATATATATATACATACACAAACAGTTATAATAGGAGGAAGTGAAAATGATATAAAAATATTTTACAAAATTGAACATCATAAATTCAGTATCAGATTTTTCTTCATATATGTAGAAACCAATTATAAACATATAAACATACACACAACACACACCCATATATATACAAAATTACATATACATACATATTCGAACCAATATATTCATACAAACACAAAGTCAACACACACACACACACACATATTTGAACTGACATTTATACAAACACAAAGTAAACATATATATATGTCTCCATAAAGTATATCACGTATATGGCATATGCATATACTTACATATTTCCCCACATATATACGTACACACATAAACGCATACATAAAAATGCATAAATGTATAAATCAGCTTCTTGATGTTGAGATGAAATCCATCAAGGAAGGTGCCATATATTTTTGTTTAACTGAAGTACTTTCAACCTTTTCTAAGATCATCTTCTGGGGAAAATTGCAATGACAAACAGGCCATTGTAACTGCGATAAAATCTACATTTGTTGTCATAGTGAATTTTTTAAAAACACATGTGAATGCACTTTTTTATAATTATTTTAGAATTTTTAAATTTATCTGCTGCAGTTATGGAATTTTTTTTTACAAAACAAACAATTTAATATAAGTTAGCTGTCCAGAAATTTACAGAAATGTATAATGGCATTGGTATATAAATATTATATGCACTTTAATATGTTGTTCCTATATTCATAATAAATTTATATAGACAGAGATAGATATGAAATTTCAAATTGTTTCCTCTATCCTCACATCATATTTAAAAACATTACTCAAGATTATTCTGCTATTTTCTTTTGGTAACATTGTGCCTTTTTTAAACATGATGTCCATCAAAGAAAATAACTCCATCCCATCTACTGTTGATTCCTGAGTTTGTGTGCTTAGTCAACAAATAAAGAATACAAATTAGAAAATGAGGGATCAAAACTTTCAATAATTCAGATTAAAAAGCAATAAATGGGAAATTTAAGATCTGATCAAGGTTTTGTTGCTCAAATTGTAGTTGGGTAGAGAATACATTTCTAATCCTTAAAATAATATTTAAAGGAAAAAAACAAGGTTTAGAACTGATCCTGCTATAAGAGTTAGTGAGCTATATACATACATTCACACATAAGAAAATAATGTTCATTTCCTTGATTTCGTAAACTTCAAAATCTGTTTCATTGAGTCTCTTCTGTGTAGACTTGGTAGAAAATCATACAATGTGACAAAGAGGAATAATAAACCAATCAAATTCCTCTATTTTAACTTTTCTAAGCTTGGAGCCTCTCGAATCAAATAAAAGCAAAATCACTAACCTAAAAATCAGTAGACACATTAACTTCAGAAGGATCTTTTTGCTCTCGGTGACTTCAAAGGAACAGTTGCTAATTGTCTATTTATTTCTGTCAACTTGCTTATGGCTAAGGACACCAACAGAAGATTTAACTGGATCTGTTTTTATGTATGTAAACCTTCTCCCTTTAGTAGCGCATATATATACAGACCTTTATTTTGAATTCCAATGCTTCAAAAGACCATTTATTCCATTCAAAACCTTTCCAATTTTAACAGACATTTAATTACATCAACTTGCTTTACTGGTCTCATACTATGTATATAAAATTATTGTTCTTATATGCTGTGAAGCCATTCTTGTATGAAACATTTTTAAAATTTTCTACTGAATTCTATTAGTGGTATTCATAGTAAATCTAAATGGGCCTCCTCATATATATTAATCTTGGATGGCCTCTAAAAGTTCATGACAAATGTACATTAATTTTTAAATATAAGTTTTTTGGCTTTTTATATAAAGAGTGCCATAATGTTGAGTTTACAATTATTTAAAAATTTAAAAAAAAGCCCCAACAACTGCAGTATATCTTTGATCTTGTTAATAGCTAGAAGTATGGGGAAAACTGCTGCTTCCCAAATGTTTCAACAGTATTTACATTCATTGAAATCATATGCATATCATCTTTAATCAAGAAAAGTAGCAAAAAAATCAAATTCTTTCATACTGTATTAGTCAAGCTTATAGATAGTGGGTAGATTTTGGCATAAATTTTTTCCTTTTTATGTATTTGGTTGAAGCCCCCAGAAATATTTCTTTTGAGAAGCTTTTTATTATTTTTTATTTAATTTTTCTTTCATGTGTTTTTATTATAAATGTATTTCTTAATATTATTTCTTGGAGTACTTTCCATCATTTTGGCCATTTTCAAGGAGTAAAGTTTTTTACTTTCTCTGGCATCTTATTTTGATTGATATCTACAATATGTTGAATTT